CGATATAAGTTCATAATGTTTGAAATATAATCTACATGGAACAAGAATTATACTCTAAACTATAGTTGCTCGGTCAGAACTACACAAGTTATAATTACACGGGTTATCAATTTCAAAATTTAAATATATTTAGTAACTATTTTCTAAAATATAAACATTTTTGACGTTTCTAAACTGATTTAGTAGAGTTGAATTGTTGTTTCCCAAAATGCATAATTATGAATTCAGTGTAAAGTTGTCTTCCAAAATTATAGCCACCTCATTTTTTTAAAACAATTAGACTTTAGTGTTTATTCTCCTTGGCATTGTATGCTAATATGACCAGAACGATGTTTGTTTTCAAAAAAATATTCTCTCTTCTTAATATCTGTTCTTCATTTTCTTTCATATACGTTGGATAGGGTGAAGTGTGAGAGAGATTAGAAGAGTTGGTGAGATCATTGCTCTGTTCTGTAGATTAACAGTTAGTTGATGACCGTTAGGTTTAACACCTAAGTTTCAAAAAGTTCCCGGGAGACAGATTCAAAAACACACCGGGAGAGGGAGAAAGAGAGTGGATCAATGTAAAAATGAAGGAAGAGGAGAGAGTTGAGTCGACCTCTAAGTCGTGTTCTTCTTCATCATCTTCTCTACCTGTGAGCTACGGAGTTGACGGTGAAAAATACGACTTTTCTTCCTCTGCTTCTTCTCTGTCTCAACCGTTTTCTCCACAAGGTTCAAGCAACAAGAGTTGTGTTCTTGAAAGCAATAAGCTTTGCGTTTTGTAGCTTTGATTGTTCTGAAACTGTTTAAGAGATGCTGCGGGAAAGAGTTGCAGATTGGATTTTTATTGTTTTCTGAAAATAGGCAGACATAGAGATGCAGCCTTAGAAAAAGAAAAAGAAAGACGACGAAAAGGATAGTGGAATGGTGCAAATTTGCAAGAGACAAAAATGAAACATGTCCATAATTCTTCAATCGAATGTAAGAAATCATGATTGTTATTAAAGAACTGTGGAGCAAATACTACTTTTCAGCAATGAAAACGATTTCTATTGAATGCAAAGAGCATGTTCGGTATCCACAAACGCAACAAGGAAGATACCTCGATGGAGCTGGTGGCCATATAGTATATAGAAAGCTTAGCCCACGCGCCATCGCCGGTAAGGCCACAGTCTTCACAAAAACGGAGCGCCGCGACCTTCCTCGGCAATATCATTATCACTGAAATTGAATATATTAGCCTTATTGCCAAAAAAGATAGCCAACATCCAACAAAATAACCAACCCCTTTGCCGAGTTCAATTACCACAAAATTTGAACCCAATCACACAATTGGTTAGGGAAGCTGCATAAGGTTCGAACGCTTGATGGTTATTTGTGATTCTAGGCTAGAAAATATTCAAGGCCTGGGATTATTACCCGAACCGATGTTTGGTTATGGATCGGTTAGGTGTTGTGAACCGATCGGCAAAAGCACCGATTAATCGGTTTATGTGAAATTTTCCCACTTCCTCCTTCTTCGATCTCTTGGGTCGAGTTGAATTCAGACGTCGTTACCATCGTTTTGTCACCGTCTGAACCATCTTCACCATCTCGAGAACCACTGTCATTTTCTTTCTTTTATCATCGTTGCCGCCGCCTCCAATTTTCTTCATCGTTTCCAGTTTTC